CTTTAGTTTATGTGAAAGGAGAACTGAGAGTCCCCTCTGGTTTATGGATTATCAGTGTGAGATTACACACACTTCTTCACTCCACGCATCCATTCAGGACAGGGTGCCTCTCTCACGTGGGTTAGCTTTCCTTCATTATTTGTTTCAGTATCTTTCTACAACCTGATAAAATCTCTTCAGAACCATAGAATTTTATAGCTCAAAAGAATCTAATCCAACTTCCTTTCTTTATAGATGAGGAAACTGAGACCCTGGTTAAGTGACTTGCCAGACTGACTTCGTTTCCTTTTTGATAGGATTGCATGATAGAGAGAAGCCATAATAATCATATCTTGAGTTCAGAAAAGCACATTGTCAGACTGTGCCGTGATAGTCTTGGGGACAACATGAAGAAATGTGATCTGGGAGATAGTGCAGCCAGATAGATTATAGTTAATTGAATACTTCTGCCCAAAGGGTGCTTTGTTGCCAACTTGCGCCTCATTATTTGAACTGGTGAGATGAACTGTAATAGGAATCCATGTAAATTCTGTACTTTAGTTCAATAAAATCAGCTGAGTAGATTTAACTTAATAGCCTGCAAGCCCTAGCTGAATTATTAAGCATAAGCTCCAAGAATAAGGAATTTAACATTCTCTGCATTGTTTAGATCACATTGGCAGAATGTTTTTTAGTTCTGAACACATGTAAGAAAGATACTGACAAACTAGATGAATTCAGAGCAAGGGAGGGTAGTGAGGAGTGGGGATGATGCCAAAACCAGCTCACATAGGAAATGCTTAAGGGACTAGATATACTTTGGAGCAGCAAAAATAAGTAAAAATATGATCCTAGAGTTCAAGTACTTGAAGGTTTTTTCTTTTTTTTATCTGCAGGAGTCTTCATATCATTTTCTTAAGTGTTTCATTCAAATATCTGTATTGGCTTAAAATTTATTCACAAATCCTTATGTATAACTCAAAATGCTTGGAAAATACTTTCTAAGTAAAGCTTCTAATTAGGCAAGTAGGTTTCATAAGGCAAGTGAAGTGGCAGGTCCATTTTAAAAGTCTCATTGGCTAGATTTTAATACCATACTCACATTGTGCCACTTTCACAATGATATGCATGCTATTTCTGTCATTACAAGACATTTTAACATTATGCTCATATCCAAAATTTTAGAAGGCCTTTTGCTCACCCACAATAAGCGGTCATCAAATTCAGCACTTTTGAAAGTAAAGAAAGTTTTGTCCTCTTTTAGTTTATTCTATGAAGTTGAACTTTTCCCCCAAAGGTTGGAGGTCAGGGTAGGCAAGACACAGAAAATGGTACTAGGCCATTTGCACAGAGGCTGTCAGAAGAGTTACACAGTCTAATTTATAAAGTGTTTCTACACTTATAGTAAATTGTACCCCACCTATCTTTCTGGTTGTTTATATTTAACAGTTTTAAAAGATGTTAAACCATATTTTTTTTTAGTTTTGTATTGCTATTGTCACAAGTTTAGTGGCTTGAAGCAAAACATATTTAGTATCTTACAGTTCTGGAGATCAGAAGTCTGAAATAGGTTTCACTGGGCTAAACATCCAACATCCAGGGGCCAGAAAGGTAAAGCCACATCCTGCGATGCTGGCATCCCATATGTACAACTGTTCGAGTCCCAGCTGCTCCATTTCCAATCCAGCTGCCTGCTAATAGCCTAGGAAAAGCAGTGGAAGATAGTCCAAGTATATGGGCCCCTACAACCATGTGGGAGACTTGGATGAAGATCCTGACTCCTGGCTTCTGCCTGGCCAAGCCCTAGCCATTGCTATGATCTGTGGAGTGAACCAGTAGATGGAAGATCTCTCTCTCTCTCTCTCTCTCTCTCTCTCTTTCCCTTCCTCCCTGTAATTCTGACTTCCAAAATGAATAAATAAATCTTTAAAAAGGTATATCCAACCTCTATAGACAGTCTCTGTTCCTTGGTGTGGCTCCTTCCTCCGTCTTCAAAGTCAGCAATCGCTGGTAAAGTCTTAACTCATGCTGCACCACCCTGAAACTGACTTTCTTGCTTTCCTGTTTCACTTGCAAAGACTTTTGTGATTACCTTGGCCCGACTCTCATCATCTAGAATAATCTGCCTGTCTCAAAAATCCTTAATTTATTGGCAAAGTTCCTGTTGCCATGTAAGTGAACAGTCACAGCTTCTGGAGATTAGAATATGGACATCTTTGGGTGGCATTATTTGGCTCACAAGTCTGTATCTAAACGAAATGGGGCTATTTAAAAAACACTGGAGGGGAGGTGAATCAGCGCCTTTTAGGTGTTGAGACATGGGTTGACTTGTCAGCCATGGTGGTAAAACGATTCTTGCTTTGAACAGGAAAATAGATTTAATGTCTTCTAAAATTTGATTTTATTTAATTAATAACCACTTACTTTTTTGAAAGGCAGAGTGACAGGGAGAGACAGAGAGAAAGGTCTTCCTTTTTCCGTTGGTTCACCCCCCAAGTGGCCGCTATGGCCAGCGTGTTGCGGCCTGCACAATGCGCTGATCTGAAGCCAGGAGCCAGGTGCTTCCTCCTGGTCTCCCATGCAGGTGCAGGGCCCAAAGACCTGGGCCATCCTCCACTGCACTCCCTGGCCACAGCAGAGCTGGACTGGAAGAGGAGCAACCGGGACAGAACTGGCGCCCCAACCAGGACTAGAACTCGGGGTGCCGGTGCCACAGGCGGAGGATTAGCCTAGTGAGCCACGGCGTCGGCCATCATCTAAAATACTTTTATAACAACATCTAGACTGGTGTTTGACCAGACAGTTGTACACCATGGTCTAGCCAAGTTAACACATAAAATTAACCATCACGTAGAATTATAGATTGAGTCCCAGACTTTCGAGCTTCTTGGCCAGTGTTATTCCTCTGTACCATCAATCATATTCCTCCCTCTCTTCCTCCCTCCCTCTCTCACTCTGTCCTTCCCTCCCTCCCTTTCTCCCTTCCTTCCTTCCATCCTTTTCTGCCTTCCTTTACTCTATTTAATAGTTTGTGGTATCTCACTGCCTCTTTGTTCTTAAGTACGAATTTCCAGATAATACGATTTTCCTACCTCCCCTTTGATGTTCATTTTTATATTGGCTTGCAGACAGTTTTTGAGTTTGCTGTGGAGCATTTTACACTGAATTAAATAAATATATTTAGTGTTTTGTTCAGCGGCTAAACCTTTTAGCAATCTTTTATGTAATTTTAAAGACATTTTAAAGATATTTTGGGTTGTTCTTCCTTTAAAGTAATTGTTACCTGATGGTATAATTAAAAATCTTAAATAGGTCATTCAGAAAGCATTGGCATTAAAGAGAAATGTCTGAATTCATTTTCACTGTCTTTGGAATTGTCTTGTAATTGCTTCAGTTATTCCTCTGTATATTTGCTCTCTGTGGGCTACAGAATCTGTCTTAAAAATTGCTGCTAACTCAGTTTAAAATGTTAAGTAAAAGTTGAAATGGTAATGATTTTTCAGATTATTTTACAACTTCTACCATTGTTGAATCCTATTTTAAGTTAGGAAGCAAGTTTTTTGTTTTCCCTTCAAGCTGTTTAAAGTAAGCTTTGGGAAATAAATAAGAACTTCTTTTAAAAATAATTATTTTAAAGTGATGATCAAAAGATACATCTTTATCATATACAACATGATGTTTTAAAATATACATACACCGTACAGTGACTATTTCAAGCTGATTAACATTTGCATTATCTTACATGCTCATCTTTTTTTATGGTAAGGACATTTAAAATCTATTCTCTTAGCAGTGTTCAGGAACACTTTATCAAAAGGACCCATTTTTTTTTTTTAAAAAAGATCTATTACATTCATAATAAAAAATAACATTTATCAATAAATAAAGTAACTTATTAATAGAGTAAGAGCTTATATTAGAGAAGGTAGCCTGATGCCTGGAGATGCACTAGGAAGGAATTTCAGGGCAAGAAAGCATGAATAGAAGATGTTCTAGCTTTATTCTATCTTAGGTCATCTTATGTTCGTGGTATATACTTCTGAACATACCTCATTTAGTTCTTTTGTCTGGAACAGGCAAGGCTACTATTTTTATTTCCATTTTGTAGGCAAGAGCTCCTGAGGTCTAAAGAGATCCTTGCATAGATGGCACAGGTTCTGTAGTAAGATCCATAGAATTATGAAATATTAGATTTTGAAACTCACTTGGTCTAACAACCATCTTTCTTATCCCATATTCTTTCTACCACACCACTTTCTGTTTTTTGAGTTTTTCTTTTCTCCTCACCTTTTCCTCCTTACCTTTCATAATTGGACAAACATTATCAAGTAATTAGTTAACATATTGCCTTTTTTATCATTCCTTTAAATAAGGTTGTGGAATTAGGAATATAAATTAATGATGTAATTCAGATTCAGGGACTTCTTAAACATCAGATAATAGTATATTTAGGTTAACTGAGAAAAGGTTTTTTTTTTTTGTACACTGGAATATAAGCATGTTTTAGTTGATTACATCTTCAAATGTGGAGAATTCTGTGTTAATACATCTTGGGCATATATTTCTGAAGGTATACATGTACCTCAGAAAAAAAAAAACTTTCAAATTTCAGAGCCTCTTTCCAAAATAAGAGTGGTAGATTGGGCTTAAAGGACGAAGTGTTTTTACCTCTCTATCTGACATTTGAAAATTCCAGTTAACATTTTATTATGAAAAATGATTCTTTGTTTCTATGAGCTCTAACCTCTTACTGTTCATTTCGTGGTGAGTAGTTGGAAGGGTGAAGTAGTGAGCAGCTTCCATCTTGAAACTAAAGGTCTAAGTTTTAACAACACATCCTGCACTGGGGAGGTCTGTCGGGCAGCAGGCCGCAGCTCCTCAACTGGGCCAGAGGTTTAGTGGAGTGTATCTTTTGCTCTCCACCTTTTGTCAGTACTAGAGTTTATGTAAATTCGTAAACTTATCCTTTTGGGAGACTGTTTATTTCTTGACTCGTGATTTTACTGTCCATTTCTTTTCAGAGCATGAAGGGAAAAAGCAAAAGCAGTCATGACTTGCTTAAGGATGATCCACACCTCAGTTCTGTTCCGGCTGTTGAAAGGTTAGTCTGGGTCTGATGTGATCCCAGATTCTTGTTTTCTGGCTCAGATGATTTTCTTGCTTCTTTTGTTAGTAAATAGTTAGATCTCGTAAGTCAAAAATGTTTAAATTGAGCCCCTAAAATGAAGCATTTTGATCATGGACGTGAAGGACTCCTCACATGATGGCAGGAGGCACTCTTTGTCACTTTTGCTCTCCACCTTTGTTGAACTAATTATGTAGGTGAGACATGTATGCTGTGGTTTGAATGCCAAAAATTGTTTGCTTTCACAGTTTAAGGTTGAACTCAGAATTTCTTTGCTAACTGTTTCCTTAAAGGATTTTTATCTCAGTTGCTGTCATGACTAACTAAATCAGCGTTAAAGGTTTTTGTAAAGTCATCACCACAGTTTGAGCCAATCCACTAAGTGTATATTCTCACATAAGTTTAATAATTTTCTCACTGTCTTCACTGCTTCTCATTGAGAAGGGAAGATGTCTTAATGTTAAATATAACCACCAAATATATTGGGCCAGTGTCTCAAAGAGGGACTAAAATACTTTCATACTTCGTTTAGCTCATTTTCTTTTTTTTTTTAAGATTTATTTTATTTATTTGAAAGAGTTACAAAAAGAGGTAGAGACAGAGAGAGAGGGGTTCCATCTGCTGGATCACTCCCTAGATGGCCGCAATGGCCGGAGCTGTGCCGATCTGAAGCCAGCAGCCAGGAGCTTCTTCTGGTCGCCCACATGGGTTCAGGGGCCCAAGGACTTGGGCCACCTTCTACTGCTATCCCAGGCCATAGCAGAGAGCTGGATGGGAAGAGGAGCAGCCAGGACTAGAACTGGTGCTCATATGGGATGCTGACACTTCAGGCCAGGGTTTTAACCCGCTGAGCCACAGTGCTGGCCCCCAGTTTAGCTCATTTTCAAAAGTCCTACTTCAGGTCAATATTTTTTTTAACTCCCATGTTTTTAAAGAACTTGGTTTCTATAGCCAGAATACTTAAAGCTTATAGAGGAAATTGTTTACTGTAAGTCTTTTGTTCATAAAAAAGTTCTGTTAGTGGTTGTTTCCTATTTTTAGAAAAATACTGGTGAATGCATATATTGGTTCCTAGAACATATCTCTTTTTCTGTTTATATAAAATGACCCACCTGCTTTATAATACCATTCTGAAATTCCTTTGTTGAAATAAATTTTCAGAAATTTTATTGTAGAAAACACCTAAATTTTTAGATTATATAATTTTAAGTTTTACTTTCAAACTAAAATTTATTTTACTTTTTTTTGTAGTGAAAAAGCTGATGCAGCAGATTTAGATGATGTGAGTATTAATTTTAGTGACAATATAATAAAACAATTTATAAAGTTCAAAAATGTTAGTCACCTTCCTTAAAAATCATATATATATTACTTTTATATGTGTAAAATTTTAAAATATTTGAAATATAAAAATAAAATTGTCATGATTGTATGTATGCATATATATATTTCCTTTCACAACTGGAAACTTATATCTGAATTTCTAGCCTGCTTTTTCTCCCTTTCACATAATATTATATGAATATTCAAAATTCAGATTTGTGGTTTTATTTTATTATGTTAAAAGTTTAAAAGATGTTAGATGATCATTTTACATGAAATACAGGAAATGCTTAAGTCAGTCATTTGTAGTAGTCCATGACTATAGTAGTATTCCTTTTTTATGTACATATTTCAGAAGATCTTCATTCAAGACTATAGATCTCTTTCCTAATTAGTTGTACTGGCTAATAAAGCTAACAAAACAGAAGGAAGATTTTTCTTTTAATATGTAAGAGTTAACTCGTCCAGGGGCCAGTGCTGTGGCACAGCGAGTTAACTCCCTGGCATGCAGCACTGGTATCCTATATGGACACCAGTTCGAGACCTAGCTGTTCCACTTCCAATCCAGCTCTCTGCTATGGCCTAGGGACACAGTAGAAATGGTTCAAGTCCTTGGGCCCTTGCACCTGCATGGGAGACCTGGAAGAATCTCCTGGCTCCTGGCTTTGGATTGGTGCAGCTCTGGCCGTTGCAGTCATTTGAGGACTGAACTAGTGGATGGAGGACCTCTCCTTCTACCTCTCCTCTCTCTGTGTAACTCTGACTTTCAGATAAATAAATAATTTTTTTTTTTTAAAAGAGTTAACTAGTTCAAAAAGAATTCATGGACGTGGGAGTCCCTCTTGCTCAGAAAACAGGTGCTAAAGCCTAAGAATAAGGAATATTATCCCTTCCGTAGGAAATACAAAGTAAGATTTAAAGTTTGAAGGAGACTTGTGTAGAGCAGGGAGGAAGAGTGTTTAAAGTAAAGGGAACTACATGTCCAAAAGGCTATGAAGTGAGAGAGTTTGGTGTGTTTCAGGAGCTGAATGCAGGCCAGTGAGACCAGAGTGCAATAATGATGAGGAATGCAATAGGAGAGGTAAAAGGACAGGCAAATTTTGAAGAACTTCATATGCCATAGTGAGGAGTTTGGTCCTAAAAATAATAAAGAATAGTTGAAAGATATTTGTTAAAAAGAAGCGTGCTACGGTCAACTTTCAATTTGAAAAAGCTCTCCATTGGCAATGTCTTAGAGGATAAATTAGAGGAAACAGGCAGTACATCAAGGAGAGCTATTGGGCAGCTGTTGCACTAGAGCTTGATGTAAGACCACAGATGTCCATTGGAAAAGAGGTGGAGAAGATGACTGATTCCATGTTGTGAGGTGAGGCAGCAGGAGTCTAGGATACCCACAAGGTTTCTGGTCTAAAATTTACTAGATGGGTACAAAAGAAAGTAGACTTGGGAACAAGACAAAAAATATTATGAGGATAATGTACATTTGCAGATTGAGTTAACTTTGAAAAATAGCAATATGGGTCTAGAACATAGGGTCAGGGTATAAATTAGGATGTAAAAGTATAGGTTTTTTTTTAAGGTCGTGGATGAGGGTGAAGTCAGCTAAGGATAATGTGTGGTCAGCAATCTGTTTTGTGTTCCAGAGCATTGGAAATGACTAAAACAATGTGTCTTTTCCCAGGAAAATGTACTACATCCACAAACAAAATGTATGAAAGTACTGGGATTTGTTATCTGTTCCTTATTTTCTTTCTTTCTTTTTTTTGACAGAGTTAGACAGTGAGAGAAAGAGAGAGAGAAAGATCTTCCTTCCATTGGTTCACTCCCCCAAATGGCCACCACGGCCAGAGCTATGCCGATCCAAAGCCAGGAGCCAGGTGCTTCCTCCTGGTCTCCCATGCAGGTGCAGAGGCCCAAGTACTCGGGCCATCCTCCACTGCCCTCCCCGGCCACAGCAGAGAGCTGGACTGGAAGAGGAGCAACCGGGACTAGAACCCGGTGCCCATATGGGATGCCGGCGCCGCAGGCGGAGGATTAACCAAGTGAGCCATGGCGCCGGCCCCCTATCTGTTCCTTATTTTCTAGATTTGCTGAGGCCCAAGCAAGTCAGTGGTTTTCAAATTTTAGTGCTTAAGAATTACTTAAACATTTGCTACCTCCAGTGATATTGGTTCAGTAAATCTGCAGTGAGGGCTGATTTCACATTTTCACAAACATGGAATATAGTCTAAGGACCAGACTTTGAGGACCACTGCTGTAGAGGTTCACAAGCCTTAAGTTAAGGATCCTGCCTCTCTAAGACTCCCAGCCAGATCAACAAATCACAAAAGGTGATGAATCATTGAAAAATTATCCACTTGAGGTGAATTCTTCCTTTTTTTCTCCCCTCTCCCTTCCCTTTACTCCTCTCTATTAAAATTGGGTGCCCCTCTGAAAGTTGAAGATATAAGCAAAACAGGCCAGAATTTTAGCCCTCATGGCGTGTTTGTTCTCATTGGATGAGAGACAGCATGTAAATAATTAAAATGTATAGCATTTCAGATGAGTGAAAATGCTCTGGAAAATAAAACAGTGAAGAGGAATGGAGAATATTGGAGGTGGGCAGGTGGTTCTCTCATTGTAATAGAATGATCAAGAAAACAACTCTGAGAGGATAACACTTGAGCAAAAAAAAAAAAAAAAAAAGCAAGCAGTGCAGATGTCTGGAAGGTGGCACTTCAGGCTGGAGAAAACAAGTCCAAAGTTGGCAAGTGTTGCCACACCCAAGTTATAAGAGTTTATATTAGGAGGCATCAATTGTCAGAACCTTTAGAGAGTTAGGAATCCATTGGAACCTTTTCAGAGGAGGACGTTGCTGTGACCTCAATTATAGGGACAGATCTCATATTCTACGCTGCACCTCTTCCACTTGAAGTAATCCTTGGTGGATGTCAGTGTGTTGCCAGCTGCTTCCCACTGGAATAAGAATAGGAATGTAGGCACATACCCTGGGAAATACAGAGGGAGCGGTCTGTGCTGTACAGAGGAGCTGGGCATGCAGTAGGTGAATTCCTGGGTTATCCCATGCATGATTGGCCTAGAGATGACCCCAGGGGTAGTCCCACCTAGAACAAATTCTTTAAGCCCATACTAATTAAAAACAAAACAAAAAACAAACCTGCCCTAGACTGCAATGATGGTCTGAGATGAATCTTTCTGGAAGCGAAAGGGAAAACTGAATACATGGCAAATAGTTTCAATTTCTATAGGATGCAGAAGATGAAAGTGCAGAGGATGATGAGGATATTGATGGTGGTGAAAAGAACCAGATGAGAGAAAGAATTGCAAAAAAGTTAAAGAAGGACACAGGTACAAATGTTAAGTCAGCCGGAGAAGGAGAAGTGGAAAAGAAATTGATTAGCCGCAGGTAAGTCATTTCGTCCTTTTATACTTCATTTTAATTAGTATTGAGCCCTCTCTTCAACTGACTGTTTCCAATAACATTTTCATAATGCTTAATAAGTATACCAAATTTGTATAAATTGGCTTGTTTTGGAACCTAAAAGGAAATAGACCAAGCTTAAAGTAAATAATACAGCAATGATACTAAAAGTGAAACCACTTCTCTCTGATTCCTTTTGAGAAAGGCTCTATAATTTTTTAGATGTAGAATACACAATATGTAAGTTAGATGTGGAAAGCTGTGTTTGTTTATTACCAATGAGAGCAATATGGAAAGAAACAGACTTACTCAGTTTAGGTAAGTAAAATTTGTCAAACTAGTGAAAAAAATGATGACATTCTGAAATATTGTTTCAAATCTGATTTACCAAATATCATATACCCTTCCTGATCTCAGTGGTGTCATAAAAAAGATTTCAGCAAATGATGAAAAGTGTACTGATAAAAGTTTGTTGCATTTTATGACTCAGCATTTCATTCTGAATTTCAACTTTAGTGAAAATCCACCTCCTTTCCTTTTGATTCTATTATTACAACTTTATGATATCCATTTTAAATGATGTTGCTTTAAAGATTGATAATATTTATTTTTTTTCAGGTAGCCTAAGATGCAGATAAGATAGACGTAACTCCGTATAAATTTCATTTTTTTGGAATTCATGTTTCTCAGCCCCAATTAGGAAAACTTAAAAAGCATTTCTGTGCTCTCATTGCATAGCTCTCAGTTTTTTCCTTTATATAACCAGAAATAAAAGCAATTCCCAGTGGCAGGCATTTGGCTTTGCAGTTAAGACACTAGGATGAGATGCTTGCATCCCCTATCAGAGGGCCTGGATTTGATTAATAGTTCCAGTTCCCAATTCCAGCTTTCCTCTCTGCAGACCCTTTGAAGCAACAGTGATGGCTCAAGTAGTTGAGTCCGTGTCACCCATGTGGGAAACTCTAATTTAGAGTTCCTGGCTCCTGGCTTCAGTCCAGCTCAGTCCATTTCATGATGAGCATTTGAGGAATGGACCAGCTGATGGGAACTCTCTTTGTTTGTCTATCTCTCAAATCAATAAAAATTAAAAATAAATAAATTTTAATGGATAAAATAATTCCCAGAAATTTCCACTGACAGTATTAACTTTTTGCATTCAGAAATGATAGTTACAGGTTATCTTAAATGTCTTTTTCTTTCCCAACAACACTAAAATAATTACTTCTGACCAATGTAATATAGTAGATTAACTTTGGACTGATATCTACAGAAGATTTTATGAATATTTTAGTAATAATCATGTACATGTTTTAATGCATGGAGTTGAGAAGCCTCTCAGTAGCTCTGTAACTTTTTTTTTTTTTTTTTTTGACAGGCAGAGTGGACAGTGAGAGAGAGAGACAGAGAGAAAGGTCTTCCTTTTTGCCATTGGTTCACCCTCCAATGGCCGCTGTGGCCAGCGCGCTGCGACCGGCGCACCACGCTGATCTGATGGCAGGAGCCAGGTACTTCTCCTGGTCTCCCATGGGGTGCAGGGCCCAAGCACTTGGGCCATCCTCCATTGCACTCCCTGGCCACAGCAGAGAGCTGGCCTGGAAGAGGGGCAACCGGGACAGAATCCAGCGCCCTGACCGGGACTAGAACGCGGTGTGCCAGCGCCGCAAGGCGGAGGATTAGCCTAGTGAGCCGTGGCGCCGGCAGCTCTGTAACTTTTAGTTAAATTATGAGTATGATCAAGGATACATAATGTCTTTTTCTTCCTGTTCATGGAATTAAATTTTGCTATTTTGAAAAAAATGAATTTTCTTCCAGTCCAGCTCTCTGCTGTGGCCTGGGAAGGAGTGGAGGATGGGAGGATGCGGCCCTGCACCTGCAAGGGAGACCAGGAAGAAGCACCTGGCTCCTGGCTTCGGATCGGGCGTAGTGCGCCAGCCATGGCAGCCATTTGGGGGGTGAACCAACGGAAAAAGGAAGACCTTTCTCTCTGTCTCTCTCTCTCTCTAACTATCTAACTCTACCTGTCAAAAAAAAAAGAGAATTTTCTTAACATTAGGTTTATATAATAAATATGTTTTTAAAATATTTAATAGATGAACCAGCTATTCATTCACATTATATTTTTTGTTAATCTCTCAACTGTATATCACAGACTTTTTGAAGTACCCTCAAATACCTTGTAATTAGTATAAATTCTAACTTAGCAAAGCAAAATTTTCAGTAAGAACTAAAGCTTAGTTTTAATTTACATTCATATGTGTGTCTTTAAAAAATTGGTTACCTAGTATAAAAATAGACAAGCAGATTGTATTTTTACAACAAAGAGTTATTCTTGAAAGATCCTCTCTAGATAGTGGGATTTGTATGATGAGCAAACACAGCTTGGGTGACTACATGTAGGAATATGGCCTCTACTAATGAATAGTGAGAACCTGTTGGTAAGTTTTTACAGGTGAATGATACACTGAGATTGTATTTAGTGTAGAGAATTGATTGATGGAGGCATGCATTGGGTTGCTATAATAAAATACAAACTTGGTGGTTTAAATAATAGACATTTATTTCTCACAGTTCTGGAGGCCAGGAAATCCAGTCTCAAAGCGTTAGCCAGTTTGGCCCTGGTGAGGGTCTTTCTTCAAGGCTTAGTGACAGACCTCTTACTGTCTTCACATTGTTATGAGAGAGCCTGGTGTCTTTTCCTCTCTTAAAAGGACACCCATCTCAACACTGGGTTCCCACTTTCACGACCTCATCTAAATCTATCACCACCCGAAGTCCCACCTCCACATAGCATCACACTGGGGGTTAGGACTTCAACAGATGGATTTTGGGGGCTGTAAACATTTAGACCATAACAAGGGGTGAGAGGAGAGAAGTTAGGACTTTTTCAGTAAATCCGTTAAAGAGATGGTGGTGAATTGAAGCAGTTTATTAGTTATTCTAAAGAATTTTCATGTGAATGTGATGTTTAATTGTATGAGATATGTTTGATCCTATCATCTGAAGCTGTTTTATGACAGTTTCTTACATAGGAACATACTCTGATATCCACTTATGCAAATAGTTTTTTCATTTTTATGATTGAGTATAATTTGCACAAATAAAATCACATAAATTTGTGAGCGTTTTGTGTATTCACTCTAGATCAAAAAGCTATATTTAAATGCTTTGTAAGTCTACCAAGAAAAATAAATAAGAATTGAATCTCCAACGATGGCTTAAAAATTTTAGGCAAATATATAAACATTGTGGATTTCCTTGGATTTTTATCTTTTAAATAAATTAATTGGCAAAATGTGCTTGTAAATGGTCCAAATAGCAAATATTTATTTTTAACTGTTCCTCTATTCCCCAATATTTTCTTTTTTTCAAAAATAATTTTATTTATTATTTCTTTGAGAGGAAGACAGGCAGGACAGATAGATAGAATTCTCATCTACTGGTTCACAGTCTAAATGCCCATAATGACCAGGGCCAGGCTAGGCCAAAGCTGGAAACCGGGAACTGAGCACAAGTCTCTCACATGGGTGACAGGGACTTAACCACTTCAGCCATCACCACCAGTTTCAAGTTCTTCATTAGCAGTAACCTAGTGAAGAGTCAGGAGCTGGAACCAGGATTGAAACCAGGCGCTCCAACATAGGATAGGGATCCCAACCATGACCTAACTACTAAGCCAAACACCTGCTCCTATTTCCCAGTATTTATTTCCTCCCTTCCTCCCTCCCATCCTCCTTCCTTCCCTCCCTCCTTCCTTCCTTCCTTCCTTTATCTTTTTCTCTCTCTCTCTCTCCTTCTCTCTTCTTTGTTTTTTTTTTTTTTTTTCCTAAGATTTATTTTCTTATTTGAAAGGCAGGGAGATCTTCCATCCACTGGTTGACTCTACAAATGGCCAGAACAGCTGGGTCTGGGCCAGGTCAAAACCAGGAGCCAGAAGCTCCCTATTGATCTCCCACATGGGTGCAGAGGCTGTCATTCACTGCCTTCCCAGGTGCCTTAGCAGGAAGATGGATTGGAAGCAGAGTAGCCAGGAGTTGAACTAGGGCCCTGATATGGCGTGTCAGCTTAGAAAACTCTGGTTTATCTGCTGCACCACAAGATTTCCCTGCCCTTTCCCCTACCCTTGTATTTTCAGTGTTCAAGTGCTCCTCTCACCCTCCTGAATCCTGTGACGTTAGGCTTCAGAGAGACAAGAGAAAAATAAGAGAGGATGGAAGAGAAGTACAGAATTTCAAAGAGAAATATAGTTCTCTCTTGTTTAGAAATTTCCATGATTGTCTCATGACTACATGCTTTTGAGTTCAGAGAATTTCCAAAATCATTAGTATTTTTGATTATTTACACCAGCTTCACCATAGTTTTAAGTCTGTGAAGTTGATTTTATGGTTCAAAAAGCACAATACAAAAAACAAGAAACCTCTAAAAGTCTTAAAAAATCATAATGTGGTAAAAAGGATGATTGTATCTAAATAAAAGTCGCTGCTGAGTTTGAGTTGAGTTATAATGGGTCAAACCAGACCGAATGTCCATGGGAGATCATCAGTCTGTTCAAAAGTTAGTGCTTTTAATATATATAAACTTTTCGTGTGGATGTGCTTGAAGTACTTATTTCATTATCCTTTGGTCATTTTCCTATTTGAACAGTAGGATCAGAGGAGCAGACTACTTTAGCAATCCTTTAGGCAAGTAGCCATTCAAAGTATAGCTTTACTAAAAATTTGTGGTATTGCTTCTTTTGGTAAGGAAACATCTGGAATCTGTGAAGACTGGTTATCACTTTGGATGTTAAACTTACAAGCAGGTTTATTGTGTGCTTAATATTTAAGTTGGGGAATGGTACTTAATGTAATTTTCAACGAATTTACGTACAATAGAATCTTTTCTTGACACTGTATTCTCAACAATGTCTCTAGTTGTGTCTTTGAAAATGCTTAGACAGGGAAAAAATCCAAAACTCTTATCTTCTCTCCTTACAAAGCAGGCACTGT